ACTACTGAGCCAAGGGATTTTAGCAATGCCCATCTCTGCGACGAGCCACTTTTGAGTGTCAGTAGAGAGAACTAAGTGATGTCTGGGGGGACAGAGGGCAACAGGGGTGTGGGGGTGCTGAGAGGAGAGATACTCAGCTGAGAACTGAGAAGCAGGTTAGAGACACCTGACCCAAACCTAGAAGAGCGGAAGGCTAGGGTGCAGGGAGTGGAGCCAGTCAACCCTGTGCAGGCACTGAGGCACAAAGAGGGGACCGCTGGGAAGCAAGTGGAGACGGGGGCTGGTTTGTGGGAAGAAAGACTGAAGACAGATTGAAGGGTTGACCAAGGCCCGCTGAATTTCACAGTGAAGCAGGACATCCTTAAGTGTCTTAAAGAGGTCTGCTCCTGGGCTGGGGATGTGGCTCAAGCGGTAGCGCGCTCGCCTGGCATGCGTGCGGCCTGGGTTCAATCCTCAGCACCACTTACCAACAAAGATGTTGTGTCCGCCAAAAACTAAAAAATAAATATTTTAAAAAAATTCTCTCTCTCTCTCTCTTAAAAAAAAAAAAAAAAAAAAAGAGGTCTGCTCCTCTCAAAGCTGGTCCAGTAAAGTGGATAGGAAAGCGGGAGAGAGACCACTATCCGGGCTCAGTAAAGAGCTGAAGAAGCGAAACCAAGAGATGCTGTGTTGGGACACTGGCCTGAGACCCTTTCTGGTGTGTGATAGGTCACTGCCGGGTGTGTATGGGGGGAGGGACACTGCGCACCACCCTAGGGTCAGCCTTGGTGCTCCAGGACCATCATCTCTGCCCACAAACACAGGCTGAGCCTCCAACCCAGACTCCATTCCCCTCGGTTTCCCAGTCCTCCTCTGTCCCGACCCTCCTCCTTTCCTAACTTCCCTTTCCTTCAGCAGCTCCTTCTTCGCCAGCGAGTTCCTCCTCCCTTCCTCCCTGCAAACAACTGCGGAATGTCTCCAGCCACGGAATGTCCCATCCCCAGCCGGCCGTGCATGATGAAGAGGCAGTTATTGGAGGTATCATTACCATCCTGGGTGGCCCATCTGTGAGAGGCACAAGGCCTTGGCCAGGGCAACAGTGACAGAGGGGAAAAGATGATCATTACAAGGTCGCGACAGTGAGGCTGTCTCTGCAGCCAGACTTGATTTGGAACAGGATGGGACCCCAGCTGCCAGCGCTGAGGAACTCCAGGGCGGCTGGGCTTTTCTTCTTGAGCAAAGTCACAGAACTGGGCAGTGACTGCGGTAAGCTGTGAACTCACCGTGTCTAAAATCGGCTGTGCCTTTTCTACCCTCCAATCCCTCTAACCCACCTCAGGAGCCCAGGTCGGGTCTCCCAGGGTTACTCAAGAGCCTCTTCTCCAAGCCCCGCCTGCTGCTAGCGTCCACAGGAATTCTGTGAACTGCCCTCTCCTTCCAGCACATTCTCTCTGCCCCTTCTGCATATCCACCCAGTCCCAAGCGACCACCAAAAGTGCATGGCATTTGGAATCAGATCAAACTGAGTCTCAGTTGTCCCATGTTGGGAACTGGTCATCTTTTGGTTTTGCTTGGCACAGTCCCCACCCCAGCCCCATTCTGTGGTATTGGGCGCTTCCTCTTCCCAAGGAGGAGGGATAGGTGCATCAGCTGGCCCAATCACACTACCCCATCAGGACAACCAATTGGCCCAGGGATGTGCCCGTAATTCGAAACGGACCAATCAGAGTCCTTCTCTGGAATTTTTCCATCAGGAGTTGGTGGGAAGGAGTTCTTTCCCCTCTGGGTTTGAGGCTGTAAGAATGAGAAGCAGCTTCAGCCTGCACTTGTGTTCCCTGCTACCTGGGAATGCCCGCGCTTGGGGTAAAAGGAAGAAACTAGTGTCCACAGGATAAGGAAGGGCGCGGTGACCTGAGTTCCCGGGTCAGCCTGCCCGGGGAGCAGCGCCACCTGGTCCATTGTGCTTGCGATGCTCCGTGATTTCTAGGGGCGATCACCTTGACGGATGTGGTGGCCCTTACTCGCCCCCAATGTGGTGGCTGTGAGGTTCCAGGAGATCTTCTCCACCAAGCGCTTAGCGAGTGCTCCAGCCATCCTAGGTACTAATATCGCTGTTGGTCCCTGCCACCTTGTCCCCAGCACAGCCCAGCTCTGCCTTCAGTATCCCACGTTGAGTGACGCCTCATCCGTCCCTGCCCCTCCCCGCTGCAGATCCAGTACCACATTCCTGCCCTTCATTTCTAACACAGCCCGTCCCAGTCCCGTCCCTTTGTCCCACGCAGAGTCTCTCAGATCTTCCCTTCCTCTTCACCTGGCCTGCCACCATCCCTGTAGGAGCCATTCCTTCATGTGTTCCACAAGCCTTAACTGGGAACCCGTTATGAGCCAGGTAATACGCACACACTCACTGGACAGGTCAGTGACCAAAACAGACACCAGCCCCTGACTCTGCTTGCTGTGCTCCAGCCCTCCTCCAGAACCCAGCGGCCAAATTGTCCTCAACACCACTCTGATGTCACTCCTCTCCTTAATGACAATCATCGGCTCCCTATTTCCTTCCTCATCACATGGGGCGTGTCAGCCGGGCGCAGCGCTGTGCTTGCTCAGCAATCCTGAAGGTGGGCGATAAGACAGCTGCTCTGTCACTGTGCCAGCTGAGACTCAGAGGGTGAAGTCTATCCCCCAGGGTCACACAACAGCACCAGGATTCACACTCTGACCCCAGAACCTTGACCCGACACTCCTGAGCCTCTCCTGTGCTTCACTAGGGCCCGCGCCAGCCCAGATCCAGCCTGTACTCCCCACGACCTTGACGGAAGCTCCTGCCTGAGTGAGGCAAGGGGACCTCCGTGAGGGCAGGGCTATGTCATTTCTGCTCTCTGAGGTCTACCCAGCACTGGCCCGTGACCTGGCGTGGAGTTGGCTCAGCAAGTACCTGTTGATGCTCAATGTGGGAATGACCAAGGCCCAGGCTTCACTCTGCCGACCTCCCAGGGGCCACCTGAGAGTGACCTTCTTTTTTTGTAGGTGGAAAGAAGGAGAAAAAAGTGAAGTAAGGGGTGGGGGGAGAAAGAAAGAAAGAGCGAGCAGAACCAGAGTATTCCGACATAGAATCTGGCTTTGGAGGGCTGGCTCCATTGCCTGTCTGGTCACCTGTTTGTCCAAGCAGGACACCAGTCCCGATGCTGGAAAACAAGTATGGAAGACAGCCAGAGTGGTCCCCAGCCTAGGAAGTGCTGTGGCCTGACGTGATGGACCCCATCCCCCACCACTGGCCCCTGGACGCCTCTGCCTCCTCAATCTAACTCAGCCTCAAGGCCAACACCTCCATTCATCCATCCAGTCAGTCAACAACGAGGGCCAGCCCTGGACCAGGCCGGTGCTGTGTCGCTGTAGGAGACCAATGGCACAAAGATCCAAGGCACAGCTCCTGTCTTGTGGCAGCACAAAGTTGGGGACAGGGTGACCATGTAAATGGACAATGACAATGCCACACAGGAAGTGCCCTGCAAGGGGTTACTGTAGGTGCTGGGCTGCATAGAGGCTTTCTGTATCATCTGGAGGGATGTGGAGGCCTTTTTTTTGGGGGGGGGGGTACCAGGGATTGAATTCAGGGGCACTTGACCACTGAGCCCCATCCCCAGCCTTTTTTTTTTTTTTTTTTTGTATTTTATTTAGAGACAGGGTCTCACTGAGTTGTTTAGCGCTTTGCTTTTTGCTGAGGCTGACTTTGAACTCATGATCCTCCTGCCTCAGCCTCCTGAGCTGCTGGGATTACAGGTGAGCACCAAGACTGTGCGGATTCCTTGTTCACGATGCTGTAACGCTGCACTCCACAGAGTTGTTCCTGGTGCTGGTTAATGTTCAACACTCACAGAAATATCAGGCCATGCCTGAGCTCCATGTGACAGAGATTTTTTGTCCCTTATAGAGAAGCAGACTTTGGAGTCAGGGAAATCTGGGTTCCCATCTCAGCTCTGCGATACTGGGCATGTGCCCGCTCAGAGCCTCAGTTTCCTTCTCTGCCTTGTGGGGTTGTAAGGACTAAATGAATAGTGCTCCTTGCCTTCCTGTCACAAGCCAACAGTCCGTGGAGGGTTCTGCTCAAAGACCCGAGACCCCGATGTCTCATGAGACCCAACAGAACCTCGATATTCAAGAGACTCAAAGGGGCACCATGGCTTCCTATCACCTTCCTACCGTGTCCCCTGCTGTCCCTAAGCTGAGTGAAAACGAGTTTGAATTTGAGTACAGATAAGATTTGTTTATTTTAAGTTATTTCGTTGTTTGGTGTTGGAACTTACCAGGCAAGTGCTCTCCCACTGAGCTGCACCCCAGCCCCAGGTGAGTTTTTCCACAGCACCAGCAAGCCACAGGAAGGAGGCTAGGAGCCACTGTGCAGACTCTGGTGGCTTCCTGCCCCCTCCCAGGGCTTCCTGTCATTGCGGACACCCTCACCTCACCTGGCTTCTCTCCTCCAAGACCCTCGGCCAGGCCTGCCCCACCACTGAGGATGCCACCTCCTTGAGTTCAGGGAAGAGAGCAGGACTTTGGGGACCCCAACCCTGGGTTCCACCACCAGTGCTCCTTATGTCCTGGGGAGAGTCCTGCCGCCTCTCTGGGCCTCAGGTTCTTCATCTAAAAATGGGCATAACACCTAGATGACCGGGTGGGAGCTGAGGTCTTGCTCCATCCCCAGGAGGCCTCAACAGGTGCCAGGCGCAGGGAGCCTCCTAAGGCTTTGGCCCTTCCTTCCCAGCGCCCTGGACGGCAGATGGTCTTGATTTAGGGGCCTCCCTTCCTGCGACCCTCCTGCCCCACCCGAGTCCTCCAGGAGTTGACAGCCGCGGGAGGAGTTCTCCAATCGTGTTTCCACGTCCTACCACAGTCGCGGGCAGGAGGCAGGGAGGGACTGGGAGGCCCAGCGCCGTCTCCCTCCACCTTCCTGGGCGCCCACCCTGCGTGTCCTCCCCTGGCCCCCGCCCAGGCTGCCGAGGAGGGGCCCCGGCGGCCGCCCTTACCCGAGAAGATCCTCCCGTCCCGGGTGAGCAGCGCGGCCCCCACCGGGAAGCGGCTGTAGGGACAGTAGGCGGACTTCTTGGCTTCTTGGGAGGACAGCAGCAGCCGCTGCAGGTGCTCAGGCTCCAGGGTGCAGGAAGGGCGCTCTTGGGCCATGTCGTCTCCCGTGGGCGCTGGCTGGGGCAGCGGAACCGAGTCTCCAGTCTGTGCCGGGACAGCCCGAGGGTGGCTCCTCCCCCGGGGTGTGTCCCTGCGCGCAGACCCGGCGGCTCCGGACGTGGGTGGCGGGGCAGGACCCGGCTGCGGAGAGGAGCCTCCCCCTGGTTTAGCTGAGAGGGTGTGACGCGTGTCCCAGGGCAGACGGGTGTGCCGTGCCCCTGGGTGTCTCGCTCTCTGCTCACACACTGATGGACGAGGGGCGAGGGCTTGGGACAGTAAGAGTGGGTCAGAGGGTGGGTGTCATTCTGTAGGAGGTGACTGTGGACACACTTCTCAGGTAGACTGTGGGTGGGTCAGTGTGAGATGTTAGATGTCCAAGGTCCTCTGCTGAGTGACCTTTTTTCTCTTTCACTGAGGGAAAGGATGAAACTGAAAGGGCAGGGCTGGGGCAACCACTGGGAGTCAAGAGTTACAAAAAGCAGCAGTAAGATTAAGGAAACTATTATCTCAGCTGGAGGAAACTTGGAGAAGATCTACTTAGTCATCCTCATTTTTTTTTCCCTTGGCAAAAGGGACATTGGAATTGGTGGTAAAGGAAATGGGTTTGCATTCTGACTCTGTCACTTACCAGTGAAGTCCTGGTGTGGACCCACTTTGTGACTCTACCTAAATCCAGCTATTTTCGTTAAGTGACTTGGCAAAAACCACATAGGAAGGGCAAATCTCCAGCCAAGGTGGCCAGAGTTGTCCCCAGATGTCCAGCAGAAATGAGTGAATCAGAGACTCCTCTGAGGGATGGGATGGAGTCTTAGATGGGGATGGGGGAAATTAGGGGACAGGCACGGGCAGTGAGGCTGGTGTCTCTGCTTTCTGGACCTGACCCCTCTCAGCCACAGAGATGGAGGCGAACACCTGGGAGCCACTGTGGAGACTGGTAGAGCTTGCCTCACCCCCCACGCCTGTCCTCCCCGTGCCAGGCCCCCTCCTCTTCCGCCATGTACAGCCCTCAGAGAGGGTGGAGGCCCTCAGCCTCCAGTTGCTCATTCCTATGAGTTCTGGAACCTTCACGTGGGAGCAGAGGCTTGGATCTCCTGTCTCGGGACAAAGCATGTCCACTAGACACGGGAGGTTTGGGGCCAGATTTCATTAGAGCTGGAGAAATGAGGGTGCCCTGCTGGCCTGGCAGGCCCCCGGAGTCCTCAATGGATTGTCCTGCCCTGGCCTGAGATTGGATGTATTTCCAGTGAGATGGATACTATGAGGGGTCCAAAGCCCTCCCTGACCCTACCTCATGCCATCCCCTCGGTGAGGGAATCTTCCAGAATCTTCGGGTCAGAGTCTAGGCACCATCCACCCCCTTTTTACTCAATGCACAGTTGTGGTAGAGGCTGACGTTCATACAGTTCTATCTATTGCCAGGCCCGATGCTGAGGCCATTACTGGATTTGAATGATTTCATTTAATCCTCCTCGCAAGACAGATACTGTTATTGCTTATAATTTACCGATGAGAACACTCGAGTTCACAGAAATCAGAGACTTAGAAACTGACCTCAAACCTGAGTCTGTTTGCACTGGAGTCCTGGACTCTCACCCACTCCAGATCCCTCAGGGAGCTGGTATAACAGACTGGCAAGGTGCAGGCCTGGGCATCAGACCAACCACTTCAAATCCTGCTTTGAGCACTTATTACCTGCTCTGCACGTAGGCGAGTGAGCTCATCACTCTGGGCCTCTCTTTCCTGATTTACTCAATGGGGCAACCCTAGTACCCTGCCCCCATGGTGGATCATGGTGACAAAAGTTTACTCTGCTCAGGAGGATTTCTCTTCCCTTTTCTCTTTGTTGTGAACTGCCAATTGTGCTTCCAGCCCCTGTCAGCATGTATAGGCCGTTGACATGGAATGAGTCAGAGCCCTTACTTTTCTGCTGAGTTAATGGGCTATTTCCCATTGTGCGAGAGCTGAGAGAGGGTGGTGGTGGTGCTGGGGAAGAACTCTGATTGTGCTGACTCTCTGGAACCAGTCATGCCTGAAAGTGTATTTCTAGGTTCTCCCACAGCTGAACCAAAAAATTCACTTCTAGCTTAAAATTGTTTGAGGTTTTTTTTTTTTTTTTCAACTCTATGGCATCTAGAGCAACATACTACTTCCTGGGGACGGGTTGGGATGGGGAACGAGAGAAAGAGAAAGAGAGATTCCCCCCTGGTAAATGCTCTACAAGTGTTAGCTTGTACATAATGGATACTGTGTTCCAGGGCCTGAACTGGCACTAGGGAATCAGAGGTAAATAAGACTTGGTTCCAGCCTTTGGGATTCTCAGAGGCTGTGAAGGAGACAGAAGTTAACAGAGAGATGTGAAGCACTGTAACACGATCAGGTACTAGGTCCTGTGGCAATACTGGATAACCAGTTGTCTGGAGGGGAGCTGCGGGGTGGGTGAGTTGAGTTCCAGGTGATAGGAGTCCAGCAGGAGTCTCAAACAATGGAAGGACAGTTGTGCTGGACACAGTGGATGTAGCAGACACTCTCAATGCCACATCTCCTATGCCTCCCAGAGGTCACCTCCAGCTTCAGTGGATAGTCCTGGACAAACCCAGGGCTCCCTGTCTTAAGCATGTCCTGGGCACAGGCATACACTTAGCCCATGCACAAGTTGGACCAGAATGTCAGGGAGGCAACATCAGGATTAGGATCCTCCCTTTTTCAAAATAATATTTTAAGAGCATAGAATTACAAAGCAAACTAATTGCATCAAGATAGCTATTAGGATAGTTAAAATAATTGTGATATATTATATACATTTTTAAATTAATGTACCAAGTGACATGATCCAAAAACAGGCCTAGTAATTATTGTGATTTGAAGCAATGATAGGAGTTAAAGTTATTTTAGGATGCTGCTATAAAGGGATATGAAAATATTTCTAAATTATATTGAGATCAAGGTCATAAGCACTTCTATTATTACTGATTCCAATTAGTGAAAATAAAGGCATATTTTTTTTCTTCCAAGTTCATGGATCTCAAAGACTGTAATATAAAACACTTGCCTTATTATTTATTTTTGTTCCTTTTGTGACTCTGGTAGAAATGACATATAAATAGCCTAAAAATTGCTTTTGAAAGCCTCTGTCTTTTGATTAGACACTCAATCCATTTATACTTACTGCAATTATTGATTTATTTTAGACTTCCCCTGCCACCTCATTACGCTGTGTGACAGTTGGAATTGGGTGTGACTTATATTACCGAAAACTGCAAATGAGAAAGGTTTAAGTCAGAGGTCATTTTGTTTCTCTTTTCTCTAGGACCTACATATAGTGACTCCGCAGTCCTCACGGATCCAGTTTGCACATTCCTAGCTTCCCTCCTCCAGTTCACCTCAGGTCCAAGATGGCTACAGGTGCTTTAGCCTTTACAGACTCAATCCAAGCGGCAGGAAGAAAAAATGACGGGAGGGTACCATGGGGGGCGCCTTCCACCATTTCATCGGCTAGAACTTAGTTCCATGGTTTCATCTAGTAGTGAAGAAACCTGGAAATGTTTTCTTTTGGTTGGGTATACGGATGACCTTCATAAAATGGGGATCTGACTCAGGAAGGAGAGGATGGTGGACATTGGGTGTCTATTAGCAGTCTGAGTCTCCCCACCATAGCTGAGACCCAAATGACAAGAACAGGGACTCTAAGCCTTCCATATGGTCCCCAGTCACAAGAGGACCAGCCTGCCACCTGCTGGTAGGCTGGCTACCCTGGGTTCCTTTCATTATGGAGGTTGTAGAGACTCATCCTCTCGGGAATAGACACTAATTCTAGCTATGGGCTCTGCATTCTCTGCCTACCTACTGTGCTTGTGCCAGTGACATCACGGTAGATTTACTGAACGTCTTGTCGACAATCATGGGTAGTTCAAACACCGTTGCTTTCTGGTCAGAACCTCATTTTTTCCTTTCAGCCAAAGAAGTAAAGAAATTGCCAGGGGAGCATGAGACTCATTGGCCTTATCACCAGAGTCATCCGGTTTTAGAGGTTGGTGACATGACCTATTGGGACTTGGTTAGGGTCAGCTAGAAGTTATCAACTTTGTGAATCTGAAATGGAGGATTTGACCAATGCTCTCAACCGTCGGCCACTGTAGAGGCAATGCTTCTCTTTCGGAGAGTCCATGGATCAGGGAATCTTGGGCTGGATAACTGTCTCAATGGGGCAAAATTGCGACGTGTGCAATGGAGGGGAGAAATAAAGAATGTCCACTCGCTTCTGCCCCTTTCAATGCTTTATTCACTTAAATTACTCAATACAATTTCACTCTGTAGATTCTTAATCAAAATGACAATCCTTAATGCTAGGCACTGCAAAAGACAATCAATTCACAGTAAACAATTCTAGATTAATTCTAAGCCCTGCAAAACACACCTGATCATGACAGGCTAATGGCAGACATTTCCTCTGCATGCTAAGTCCAAAAGTCTTAAGCCTTAGGCTCTAAGTCCAGCAGATGCACAGTCACTCAGACCGCGGTGACCAGGTTTGGAACCAAGGCAGGCTTTCCCTGGTGTGGAGTGGACGACTGGTTGAGGAGAGGGTCCTAGGGAGAAGTTGTGGCTCTCACCAAGGTGCAGAAGAGGTGGTAGAGTTTGAGAGCGGTGAGGATCAAGCAGAGGCTCAGGAACGATGGGGGGTCAGTGATGGGGGTCAGGTCCTCATGAGGCTCTCCAGCTCAAGTGCATCCTTGATTCCGCTGGCTGAATCCCTGTTCATTTGCTCTGTCATTTAATTTACTCTATCATTTATACTAAACTTTGGGCCTTTTGACACCTCTTTCATCATTTACTCTGGGGTCAGAAACATCTGGTCTGGTGGTCTCCACCCTGATCTTCCCACCTTTCCCTCTTATCAGGCGAGGACAGCCTGCCAGGGGCTTCCCTCTGTTTAACGGGGCGAGGGGAAGGAACTTGTCTGCGGCCATACTGGAGGGCTATGTGGATGTGCCTGGTGAGACTGCAGGTTTCAAACTGGAGTTTTTAAAATGGAGTTGCTTAGGCTCAGGCCTAAGGCCATTCTCACAATAATTTATAAAATTTTGCTCCCATTCGTCA